GCCAACAGTGACATTATATATCAAGTAATATTATTATACTAAGTACTTTAATTTATTTCAATTATTATCTACGGAGAAAAAGTTTTATGTCGCACCAACACTGTAAAGATGAAATGGCGACTGTCCAGCGACTAGTGGAAGACGACAGATGTCTCTATTTGCATTATCTCAAGCACGAACGTCACCTTAAGTGAACCAACAAAACTTAGTAAGCAAAGTCTACAGCTTCTTCACAGGGTATAATTCAAATTTCCTGGCAACAGCAGTCCTGAGCAAGTGGTTTGAAACCAGAGCGAAATTCAAAGTATTTGTTATTCACAGAATCAGAACGACGAGAAAAGCATTACCCGTATGCAATCTGTATTAAAATTTTATGCATTATAGCCATGCTATCTTAGTCGTCAGCCATGCTTTTGAGACAATGGTTTGACGGTGTGTAAGTTGGATATCGGCTATCTACATTGATCTTCCTGTTTTTAAGAGCTAGTCACGAATTCGTTGGACCACCTCAGGTCTTTTCTAAAAATATATCGTACTAGGCAATATCCTATACGTTTCGTTTAATAAATGCATTATTTCGAAACTTCTTTCCTCTTCACTATTTTGTCATATAACATCTCGTCGCATGAGAGGTGGTAATCAGACATTATGATATATTCAATTTGATATTACAATCAATTGAATACTTTGCTGTAAAACTTGATAGACAATATCATCATAGTCTAGACATACATTTTGTAAGACACTGATATTATTCAAATTCAATGTTTATGTGTCGGAATTCAATTGACCTTATACCGGTATTCCATATCTTTAATATTTGGATGGGAATGTAGACGTTCAAGTTCTTGTATTAGTAAGGCATCTCTATGAATCACTAAGTAGTGTTTTATTTAAGATTTTTCAGGAAGTCGATCTTTTTGCTTTTCTAAGCAAGGTAAATAATGTAATACATACAGAGGAGGAAATGTTGTTGTGTATGAACTTTAATATATTAAATATACTCCATGGTAAGGAATAACTTACTGACTTATTTTACAAATCAAATGCAACTGGCAACCTTGCATACTTATCAATAAAAAACACAATGTCAGTACTTGTACTTTAAGAAATGAATACAATATCATATGTATTGAAACATATATTTGATTAGGTATAAAACTTTCTAGTTTGATCGCAATGATATTACAAGAAAAGATATACCCATTTACTACACAATTATATATCTACAATCAGTCCACATTACTTACTGAACACACGGTATCTGACTCTTACTGGTATGGAGAACGCAGTTTTATTTAATAAACAATTACCTACATCATACTAAAATGCGACTGGTCATGGCATTGAATTTAAAAATGGATCCAAGACTGGGCATTTCTTATTAGGAAAGAAATTTCCCTGCACTGATACAATATCCTAGTACTATAAAATTGCCTACTGGTATTTTGAAGGGTTTTCAAGTTATGCTTCGGACAAGACAACGGGCGGACAGACGGACGGACAAGGCGGCGACTATATGCTCTTCCTTCGAGGAGCATGATATGCCTTGTACATCATTTTTATTTAATTATGCTTTTATAAGAAACATTTAATAAAGCATAAAGATACAATGAAAAGGGTTTTATTTCACAATTAACATTCATAATTTTCAAATAACAAAGTGTCCAAAATGCAATTGGCTTAGAGCGTCACTACATTGAACATTCTAAATGCAAAGTATCCAAATACATATATATATACAAATGATGATATATTAAAGCTTCTTTGTTTCCAACTCCATAATTGTTAAAGATAATGTGCTTAAGTTTAAAACAAATTACCAAAACAAGTAGATCTTTATTTTGATGAACTAAAACGCACGCCTTTGGTGTGTAGTAAAATTACAAAAGGTAATATCTGTATTTCATCGACATTATCATGCATTCTCAGCCGATTGCACATTCAATTGCCTTTCTCAAACTTGCCTCAACTCCTTTTTTAGCTCACCTGTCACAAAGTGACAGGGTGAGCTTTTGTGATCGCTTTTCGTCCGGCGTCCGTCAGACCGTCGTCCGTCCGTAAACTTTTACTTTAAATGACATCTCCTCATAAACCACTAAGCCAATTTCATCCAAACTTCACAGGAATGTTCCTTTGGTGGTCACCTTTGAAAATTGTTCAAAGAATTTAATTCCATGCAGAACTCTGGTTGCCATGGCAACCGAAAGAAAAAACTTTAAATGTCTTCTTTTAAAAAACCATAAGAGCTAGAGCTTAGATATTTGGCATAAAAGCCCTGGGGTCAAAATTGGCCCCGCCCCGGAGGGTCATTTTTTTTCCCTATATGCATATAGTAAAAACTTAAAAAATCTTCTTTTAAAGAACCAAAAGAGTTAGAGCTAATATATTTAGCATGAAACATGTTCTAATAAGTGTCCACCAAGTTTGTTCAAATGAAAGCCCTGGGGTCAAATTTGGCCCCGCCCCGGGGGTCATTGATTTTCCCGATATGCATATAGTAAAAACTTAAAAAATCTTCTTTTAAAGAACCAAAAGAGTTAGAGCTAATATATTAAGCATGAAACATGTTCTAATAAGTGCCTACCAAGTTTGTCCAAATGAAAGCCCTGGGGTAAAAATTGGCCCCGCCCGAGGGGGTCATTGATTTTCCCTAAATGCATATAGTAAAAACTTAAAAAATCTTCTTTTAAAGAACTCAAAGAGCTAGAGTTTAGATATTAAGCATGAAACATCTTCTAGTAAGTGTCTTCAAAGTTTGTTCAAATAAAAGCCCTGGGGTCAAAACTGGCCCGGCCCAAGGGGTGTCATTGTTTTTAACTATATGTGTATAGTAAAACTTAAAAAAAATCTTCTTTTAAAAAGCTAGAGCTTAGATGTTTAGCATGAAACATCTTCTTATGGGTGTCTACCAAGTTTGTGCAAATAAAAGCCCTTGGGTTAAAATGGCATTGCAACGTTGGGGGGTTGGGGGGTTGGGGGGCCTATATACAGGTGAGCGACCTCAGGGCCATTATGGCCCTCTTGTTATTTGTTCCTGGTGTTCTGACATCAAGTTTATGGTCTCCGACATGTTTTATATAATTCAAATTATTCAGTAGAGAAATATACTAATTAAGTTAACATGATAAATTTATTACTTATTTAATATCACGAAAGGTTCAGTTGTCAGACAGAATAATTTAAAGAACATCAGATTCTGTCAGATGAAATTTCTGTTTTGCACTTGGATAAACTTCATATAATTCAATGTAATATTCTTCAGTTATGAACTAGAATAACGGAAAACATACAATGAGGTTAACAAACTAACACACAGATCAAAGGGAAGATTATTCGTGAAATAACGGTGACATAATTGTTAGCATTTAAAATTATAAGCAATGTAAATGTAACAGCAGCAATGAAAAACGGGGGGAAAACACCGACAAATTTTAAGCATAATTGTAAGTTAATGAAATAACATAATTTATGGAAGATATATTATTATAAATAGTTATTATTATTGTTAAAACTTTTTATCTTTTTATAGCGAACAGTGGTTTTATCAATCCAAAACTTAGTGTACACATAAATATCTGGACAACAAGACGGCACAAATTATGCTATGAACCTCAATTATGATAGAATAATCGTACTATGTCTCTGTACATATTAATTGACGAGTTAATTTATTCCTACAGCGATATGTTGAGGCTTATCATATTTCAATTAAACATGTTGCTGTGCGTATAAGCTTTATCTACATATTATTGTTAAATCGTTACGTAGCAAATTTGCGAGTTTGGGAGAAAAACATTGATAAGTATAGGGGAGGCACACTGGTATTGTGTAGCGAGAATAGTATAATGTTGTTGGGAAGGGTTTTATCTGTTTGGTAAAATATTTTTGGTTGATATTCAATGGTAGGATACTACGTCATCGCACACTTGCTAAATGCTCCCACTTGGACCATTTTTTCGTCGACTCAAAGGTTAAATACAATTTTATTATAAGAAAACCTTATTTATTATATATTTCGGGAGAAGTCCGAGTGGGAGCATTCAGAGAAAAACACTTATCCCGTTTTCAGGCCTAAACCAGGCAATAAATCTATTAACTTTTTTTTACAATTATCTCAAGTACTATAGCCATTCGTTGGTGCGATGTCGTAGTATCCTACCATTGATATTGGTGGAGTTGTATTGGGTCATTTTGTCTTGTCGAGATCATATAAGTTGATGCCCTGGTTTTAAGGATATCTGTAAATATTAGGTGTTTCAGTTTAAGTTGTTTTCTGATGCTGAATAGACTTTGTGAAATTATTTTTGCTGATTGAATGTTTGTGGTTTATACTGTATCTTACAGTTGTAAAATTATTCATTTTGCGTTCTTAATTTTGTGGCGATTTTTTGTATTGTTGATCATAAGTTGATTAAAGTTTGGGCCCGACAGTTGTCTAGTATTGATTCATATCAAATATGTAAACGTGAAAAGATATTTCATATAAGTAAATGAAAAATTATGTGTGTTTGTTTTGGATGTGAATATGAGTTCGTTGTTTTGGATGTATATGAGGATCAGAGTTTGTTGTAGTAAGGTAATGACTTCTGAATTAAAAAATAACACAATCGTGAAATAAACATATTTATTATATACTTTAAGATGAAATATTGAGAAATATTGATGAATTAAAATGCGTATTTTCATCTTCCGTATTTTCACTATAAAAATTTATTTTTCACTGCAGTGAAACATATTTTCCGTATTTTCACTGGTGTTTTGCCGGACTACTTTCTTCTAAATTCACAGTAGATTAATATTTTTTTTTTAAAAAAAGGAAAAAAAAAATTATAATAATTTTATAATCAAAAACAATTCAGTACAAAAAAGAGTGTCCCTTTAACAAATTTCTGTTCTATTTAGTTCTATTCCTTACATAAAATCTGTATCAATAGATGCTTATTAGACTAATAGTAGCTATGTCAAAAGCTTGAAAATCAGTTTTTGTCTTCTGCAAAATGTCACAAGAAAGCAACATTGAGTTAGACATTGAAATAGACAATGAAGAAGATGAGTTCTTGGCTAACATTGATTTTCATTTGATTGAGGCAGCTATGATCTTGCAACAGGATGATGAATCAGTTCCAAATAATGTCAATGAGAATGAACCGGTAGTTCATCCTACTGAACAAAATGAAGATGTCAGCAACACAATAAATATTGGTAATCCACGATTTGTTACTTCAAACACAGAAGTTGTTGATAAATTTCTTGAAGATGGCATTAATAAGAACACTAAAGTTAAAACTGACCAAGACATTAAATTATTCCAAGAATTTTTGGTTTCTGTGGCTGAAAGTAGGCCAATTCTTCAAATCCCTCCTGAAGAGTTATCTGCCTATGTCAGTAATTTCATCTATGCAGTAAGGAAAAAAGATGGCCAGGAATATGAGCCAAACTCTCTCATATCAAAGTTCCAAAGCATTCAAAGGTTCCTCAATGTGAATCAATATGGCTTCTCACTATCAAAAGATCAGGTTTACCAGAAATGTAAGCAGGTGTTGAAAGCAAAAACAAAACACTTCAAATCACAAGGAAAGGGTAATAACCCAAATGCTGCTGCTGCCATAACATCCGACGATTTAGAGAAATTCTATGCAGCTGACCAGCTTGGTGAAAACAATCCTAGAGCACTTCAAAATTCAATGTGGTTTATTTGCACCAATTTATTTGATATGCGGACTGGCACAGAGGTTCATTCTCTTTGTTGGGGAGATGTAAAGTTGATGTCTGATGATGATGGCTCCGAATATCTAATGTATAGTCAGGAGTGCCAAACTAAAACTAGGACTTGGGCTGATCCTCGTGATACAAGAAAATTAAAGCCAAGAGCTTATGAAGTTATTGAAAATCCGGCACGTTGTCCAGTGGCTTTGTATAAGCAATTTGCTAAAAGCCGTCCAGAAGCAATGTTGGAGCCAAACTCTCCATTCTCCATAACTGTAGCTTCTAATGTACCTGAAAATGGAAAACTTTGGTATAAGAAATGTGCCATGGGGATTAACAAAATATACAGCATAATGAAGGATATGAAGCATGCAGCAAACATAGATAAGCCAAATTTAACACCATACAGGCAAGTAATAAATAAAAATTGCATTTAAACATTTTATTAATAGGAAAAAAAGTTTTAATATTTCATATTTTCACAATGTTAAACCTACTGTATACAAATTAGAAAAATTATATAAAAAAATTTTTTGAATTAAATTAAACAAACTTTCATTTCAATTCTTAATTAAAACAAACTGTGGCATGTATTAAACTACTATTTAACCATAAATCTTGTTTTATATATTTGAAAAATCATGCAAAAATAACTTTTACAACTTTCTTTAACGTAAATCAGAGAAATTTTCTTTAAAATATATTTCAATAAAATAAAAAAACAGAAAAAATTCAATTTAACCGTCCTCACTGTTTTATTAATTTGAAAGTTTGTGCGAACATTATTACGGTAGATTTACTATTAGAATTACATTTGAAACCAAGCCGACACCAAAATTCCTCATACGTAATTTTTTAAATTCTAAAAAATGATATACATGAAAAAATGATTACATAAAATAAGGTGTTCTATATGTCATCAAATATCTATAATATTTCTTTATTTTTTTTAATTAATGAATTTTCAATTACATTAAAGGCTGCTAGCTTCTGTTGTTTAATAATTAGATTTAAAAATATTGTGATTGACTTAAAAAATTTGATTGACTTTGCTTAAAAATTTAATGAATAAAAAAATTAAAATTAATTATTTACAGTGTAAGGAAAGGGATGGTTCAGACATTAAATGATGCTGGCGTTGCACCCAACCACATCATTTAGATTAGTGGCCAGAACTATTTTTAGAGCGTTATAAATAAAAAAAACAGCTACAGTCGTTGTGCAGTTCAGGCAATACACAAAATTAAAGGGGAAGTCTTGTCAATCGTACGGTTGAAAATGAAAAAAAGTATAAAATAAACAGAAAATTCAAGTTTTTTCTTTAAATACGTAATTCATTTTCATCTCGTGGTATGAAAATTTTCATATTTCACTCGTGGCTACCGCCACTCGTGAAATATTTATTTTCATACCACTCAATGAAAATAAATTACGTATTTAAAGAAAAAACTGGAATATCCTCTATTTCCTCTTTACAAAGCGCAGCAGACGATATAAATAGAAAAGTTAATTTCTTCGACATGATTAATAGAAAAAAATCATCCTGTATCCGGAATGATATTTCAAAGAAAGTTATGTGCATATTGGAAGAATGAAACCGATACACTAGTGGTTGACGGATCCAAAAATGTACACACATTATCACAAGGTACCAAAATAAAAACCAGATGGAAGTGTTTTAAAGTATGATAACTAGTACATCCAAAGGAAATATATCCGATGGCGGAAAGAGGGGCTGACTGCAGTCGATCTGAAAATGTCAAAATATCAAAGTTTATGATACATTTCGTTTAATTATAAATAGTTTAGGTATTTAAAGAGAGATTTTGAATTGTCAGATTGACGAAAACATTGCGCATTTTTTCTACAAGCATTCTTAATCAATGCTAGTACAATTCAATGGTAACAAATGCAATCCATTGCTTATTACCAAAAGAAAAGAATCTTTTTCTTCACATTCTCTTGATATCTGGTATACATGTAGTCTGACTCCTGCAGTATTGGACAACGTGGCAATGCTCTATGCCAAATATAAAGAGGCCACGTTGTCCAATACTGCAGGATTAGATTTCAGGTCTGTTGTTTATCCTCTTCCTGTTTACCTTATTAGTTAAATTTTCGGCATTAATAGTCAGTTGTAAAATAATTTCGTAACACCACAGTCTCATGAATGATATATGGTATGCAAACGCATCTCGGCCTTTTCTGGTTTTGACCCATTTTATTCATAAATTGTACAGAAATAAGTTTTAAATTACATTGAAGTAACGGTAATATTCTAATAGGCTAAGAAAAAGAAGAGTAATAATGTTTAACGAATATGCCTGAGATGTGAAATTTAGTTAAATCATTATGTCTGAACGAGATTTGTTTGAAAAGGTTGTGTTTTCCCATTGTGAGGGTAGTGACATTAGTTAAATTGGTAGAGCTTACTATTTTGTCCAACACAGATCGGATAACGTTATTCTGACGATATTTACTTTTTAAACATTTTCTTTATTTTTTTAATTTATTTTAATTTAAACACACTTTTATAGTGAGAACAAACCAATATACATACATTTAAAAAGAACAGTTAAGGCTTGAAATAAAAAGTTTTCTCGTTTGACGTGTGTATTAACTAAAGCAAAGTATTTATTTGAATATGATGGAATTAAAGAGATTTGTTAAATAAAAAAGTAAAAGCCTTTACTCATAAATGATCTAAAACGCGACACTTGAATTCACTTGAAGAGAAAGCGCCTCAGTTGGAAGAAAGCAATTAAAATGAGTTTATTCTAGTAGTCTGACGATGACAGGGAACTGACCAACTGTAATTGGGATATCAATTGGATGAATAGTAACAATATAAAAATTAACCTCAACTTGTGATATTAGAAGACGTGTTGTATTGAAAGTAAAAACCGAAAGATGCCTTTAAGTAACAAAAAAAGAATAGTTGAAATATACACAATGCTTTGCTACATATTACATAATAAACTGTTGATGTATTTGACCTACTTTAGGGAAAAGTACATACACAATGCCTTTTGATGTGAACTCCCTTTGGAAAAAATGTTCTATTTGTACAAAAGTGAGCTGGATATGTCACTCGCAGGTTTTTAGAACAATTAAGACTATAAACGGTGTTTATTCCTTGTGCAATTCAATCAGAGCGTCATTTCTTGATGGCAAAAATCAGAATAGCTTTGTACTTATAATGATTCTTTGAATGAATGTAATATGATTATTTTAAATACACTATCCTGTTAACTTACAGGAACCTGTCTGAGTAATGTTAAATGTAAGAAGTGCAAATAAAGGTAAATATTTAAATCATATTCAAATTCAATGGCTATAACTCTGTGTAAGGGATTATATTCTCTAGCAAAGGTCTTTAGATTTATTACTTGTGTATTCTAAATTGAATTATTTTGAAAATGTCACCATTTTCATGTTCACGTTTATTCTGGGTTACAGGGGCGTGTTTATTATACCATTTTTTGCGTTCCTTTGAGGTTCTAAAGAACTGGAAAAAAGTGTTGTCCATTTATCATTATGTACTTTATATTTAAAACCGTGATATTAATTATGTATTAAAGACGTTTACGTTAGTATTTTGTGCGCATCGTTATGTGCATCAAAGGGAGATAATCACGGATAATAAATCTTCTAAAAGAAAAAAAGTCGAATAGTAGTCTGATAACTGTATACAATTTTGGCTTCAAAACAAATAATGAATAATTGCTACAAAATAAATATTTCTAAATGTATAGGAGGAGATTGAGTCAAAAGAATATCAGCATAAGATTGTTCCTACCACTAGTATGACAACATTTGTGATGATTCCGCGGGCGTTTCCGTAATGACGAAAGTGAGTAGCAAATCAGGTAGACAAAGAAGTTTAAGATGATAAAAATGATAACAAATATTTAAGAAATGTTCCAATTTTCATTTTCATTTTTTTCTGAATACTTACTTCGGTACTTCGTATATTTGTCGATTGAAGAAATGATATTGCCTTATATAACTTGATTTTTAAACATGTTTGTTGTATGAGCATCTGGTCTTACACTGATATTTCTAAAACAACGTAATTATTTTGACAGTTGGTAATGCGGTAACCATGGGAACTGCCCGTATACAAAAAATCAAACACGTCAGCAAGTTTATTTTTCTTTTTAAATTTAATAAAAAAAAACAGCTTATGTATCGAAAACGCAGAAAATTATATGACAATTTTTTTTTATATCTTTCATTATTTTTGAAATTCATGCTTATTTTAACATTTATCTTTTATTTTTTTATTATTATTGTTGTTGTTGAGTTTAGAAGCATGGACAACTCATCTTTTAAAGAAATACGTTCGAATTATCCTTTCTGCATACAGAATTTATGGATAGTATTGCATAAAATTGGCTGTTTCTCCTCTATTGCCTACGTTATAATGGGACCAAAACCATGTGGTAACATAATCACGCGCTCTTGTTAAAGCCCGATTTTACATTGGCGCAATACATACAGGGCCCAGTTAACAAACAAACAAACATGACGATTTGGCTTATTTGCTAAAGAGATATGCGCTCTTGTTTTATTGAAATTATTGATTTTTTTGAGGGCCTTAATCACATAACGGCGAGCAGCATTGAAGTATATATGCTGGAAAAACGGCGGCGTAGTGGCCCTTTCTAAGAAACCAACAGTTGTCAATGTAAACAAATTTCTGTCATTCAGTAAATTAGAGTTGATTTTTTTATTAACTTGTATGCTTGAGTTGAAAAAAAACGATTCTGATTTGCCTGATCTTTTAAAACATTTTTAAAACATGTTTAATTGCTTCAGTAACGTCCAAGCACAATGATTTAATGTAATATGTGATTTGTGTTAAATCTGTTTTATAATTTTATGCTATAATAGCGTCAACGCATGTTCAGGTTGTGTTATATTTTGATATTTACGGTTACCGTTTGCAAAAAAATCCGACACGTCAACATAAAATTTTCTTTTTGTTTTTGAACTCGTCATTAAATTTAACTAATCATACAAAAGAAATAGAAAATTCTTTCATTTTTTTTGATATTGTTAATAGATTTATAGAATTTATATATTCATTGAATGTTTATTTTTCCATTTTGTTCAGTTAAAAAGCTTGAAAAACTCATGTTTTTTAAAGAATATATTCAGATTATCATTTGCTCCTTACAAACTCATAAAATAAAATGACCTTTGTATAAAATTGTGCTTGTTGCAGGTATTAAGCTGTCATATAAATGTTTATTATTAAATAAAGTGTGGCTATTTGACAGTTTTTCTTTATACAGTTACCATGGAAACTGCCACTTTACAAACAAACGCGTCGACATATGGTTTTCTTTCTTAATTTTGAATTCAAAACTACATTTTACTTATCATACAATGAATTTCTAAAATTTTATGTAAGGATTAAATTTTTCTGATA